TGCGTAGGAAGCTTTCTGTATCACAGATAAGTTCTCTGGTGCATAGCTTGATTGTTATACTCCCTTCAGAGGCACAAGTTGGTCTCCTTTGCTTGGTCAGATGTGTTTTGCCTGCTACCTGAGGGCAGCTGAGCTGCCTGGTGCAACTCTCCCAACAGAAAAGGAGCAGGCTTTGAGCATCCATCCATTTTTGCAGGCAGAGGGTACCAGTGTCTATCAGGAGAAAGGATTAAGCAGTGTCTTTCTCTGAAAAAGTCAGATAGTCTTTGCAGCTTTCCAGCATCAGTCTTTTGTTTGCAGGAGCCTTTACTTACAAGTCCAACTAAATAGTTCCTTATTCTGGTTCTCGTCTTTTCTAGTCCTTGCTCTGTGCTTACTCTGAGTCCAGTCCAGAAGACACCTATTCAGTGGTCCTGTTCTGCAGTGACACCTATTAAAACCAGGATTATAAGGCCAGTTGGCAAAATCAAGCAGAAGCTAGGTTGAGTGGACAACAACATTTTCCTGCCTTGGTAGATATTTGTAAGCAGGGTGAATGATAGAATTCACCCTTTAAACTCTGATTTAGGTCTCTTCTGTTTAGGATTCCCTTAGGATTTTAATTCTTCATTATTTGCAATCTTTAATGAATGTGATGATTGACAAGGAAATGCCTTGTTAAATCTGGCTTAGTATTCAGCAAATATCCAAAGGGCTGAACGATACTCTAATTAAAACCTATTTGCCTCAAACTTCCTCTGTAGTCATCACAGCCTTCCTCTGTGACTGCACTGTATCTCTTGACATTATCTCAGGTGTTATCCCACTTCATTCCTCCTGCTGTCGTGGATTTGTTACCAGCCTGGTAGGTCAGCATGAAGTTTGCAGAGAGTAGCAGGACTTTGGACTCTGAGCTTCCTTAGCCCTCAGGCTCAGTAAACACAAGGCTTTCCACTGCTGAGTTCAGTCACAAGTGCAAACAGCATTGGCTTGCAGCCTGGGGCAAGGTAACCAGAGGATAAGGGGTGAAACATGCTGTAATTATTCTGATCCAGGGCAAAGCCAGTCTCCAGGGTAAAGCAGTGAGCTGAAGGTGCTCAGGACTATGAAGCCACTTGCAGTAGGGTGTGTCTCATGAAGCACACCTGCAAGATGGGGCAGTTTTATTTTATTTATTTATTTTTTCATGTGTGTGGGTTTGGTGATCAGAGGTACAGCATGGACACATTGGGACCACTTAGACATGATAAATCAGTCTTACACAGAGTTTAGTGGGTTCTGACTATGGATTGAATATGTGCAGGACCGTTGTTCTTCCTCATATCCTTTTGTGATTAAAATTGCACCTTTATTTTAATACCTCTAAGAAACAGAAGACCCCAACAAGCTCCTTCCCCAGTACTTGGCAGGGTCAAGACAAAGGGAAAACTGAGACTGCGGCCTGCTATGAGGACAGAGGTATTTTCCTCCCTACTCCCTGGCATGCCCTTTTATCCTTTTTTTTTTTTTTTCCCCTCATACTTGCATGTGGAATCTCAAAGGTCAGAGATCACCTTTCCGCTGAGTGCCTGCCGTAGGCTGGTACAGATGATGGCACAGTTTCTCAGTGCTGCAGTCACCTGTGTAGTGGCCATGAACAGCGGAGGACACGAGCGGCAGCAGGAACAGCCTTTCACTCTCAGCCCAAGACCTACATCAGAGAGGATTGTATCGTTACTGCTTTCAAGTCATCAGCACTTGTCAGCTGTCATGGGTATCTGAAAGCTGCGTTACCCTCCTGATGCTTTGAGGCCTTCAGAAAAAGAAGCTCAGAAATTACTTCCTTTACCTGAAAATCTTCTCCCCCCCCCCCCCACCCCCCAAATTCTTAAAACATAGTACTAAAATAAATAGCCTGTCAGAGAAAGAATCCAACTGACATGAAGTCTTCAGCCCAAGTGCCAAAATCAAGCTGTGATGTAAACATTTAAAAAGTGGAGCTTATATTGGTTTTCTCATTACGTATTTATATACATTAATTTGCCTTTTAGGCTCTCCTATGTAGCATATCCTGGGTGATCTGTTTCCCCAGCTAAGTTACAGACTGGAATTTAAAATTTTTCAGAAGAAAGGAAATAAATTCCTACTGATGCATTTAACTTGGCACCCAAGAATACATTAGCTTTCTACTTTTGTTATGTGTACACACAAATTACATCATTTAGGACTGATAGATTAGCAGGAAATTTTGCAGCTTAGTTGTTGCTGAAAAACAGTAAATAAAGTTTGGGGCTAGTTTCCTTCTGTGAAAATACATGCAAAACATTACTTAATATTTAGCAGATTATTTGACACTTGCATACAGGCACAGGCTGTGGCATGGTTTGCTCCAGATGCCCCGTGCCTCTTCTGTGGCCAGGCTTGGCAGCAAGCCCGATCTCTGCGCAGCCTTCCCTTTGCCAGAGCTGCTGTGGGGTGGAAATTTCATTTTTCCGGTCAGCTTTATTTTCTACACGATTATTTTCTACTTTTATCTCAGGGAGTTTTTTTTTTTTTTTTTTTTTTTTCCTTAAAGTTATAGTGGAAGATATGTTTCTCTTCCATGTTTCCTGTTTTAGTCCTGTCCTGCTGTGATTTACTGGACGCTGTTAAACACAAACCCTTGGCTGGAAAACCCAAGGCTAAATGCTCGAGCAGGGGACAATGGTGGCTGAGATTTTATCGGAAGAGAGCCTGTCTTGTTTCAGTGCAGCTCATAATTTAAGAGTGCTTGCCACCTTCTGGTTTGAGAGAGGATTACAATCGTTTAACTACTGGGCATATTGAGGAAATTGACTGTAAAAATGCTGGTCCCATTCCTAATCCCCCTGAAATGATTAAGAGATTTGTTAAATGTCATAATGCCTGCTGGAGAGTTTTGAAATGAAAGGATGGAATTTTTGTTTGATTTTAAGCAAAAGGATATAGTGACATCTGGAAATAAACAAACAAAAATCGATCTTTTAAATGAAATACTTGATTTGATACTACTGTCATCCTTGGAGACTGATCTTCAACAATTGTGTAAACTATTCAGTCAAATACTGTGAACAAGAATAATGAAAAAATAATCTTAAAAGTGAAATAGGTACAAATTCTTCAAAAGCAAAATAATTTTGAAATTGGGAACTTTTTTCTCACAAAGTTATTTGCAGATTTTGACCAGTCTGAGACCCTTCTATTCAATCTTGTCAGCTGCTATCTGACTGCCCAACTTCAGTGAAGCCACTTGAGAATATTATTAGTGCCATTTGTGCAAGATTAGGTTGCACATTAACTGTAAAAAAACAAACAAACAAACAAACAAACAACAAAAAAAAAAACACTTTAAAGTTATGGCTACTCAAATAATACGAATAGTAGTACTTCGGAAAATCAAAGCTTACCTTAGACAGTTCTTTACAATTTAGCCAGATGAAAGAGCATTTTCACAACACATATTTATTCTGTGAAGGCTAGTACGTGCTTATTCAAACAGATATCACATTTATCCAAAGCCAGGTAACTCATACTTCATTTCAGATGTCACAGTACAAGCCTAAAAAAGCATGTATATATTTAATTCTACAGCGATCCTAATAGAAGACACCAGAGTATCAGAACACATTCCAGTAGTGCATGAAGCAATGTAACTAACGTATGCCATTTGTTTATTCAATTTGTTTCTTCCCAGCATGGGACAAATGGGCAGTGAAGCGGTTCTTTGTGTGTGCACTTTTATGATACGCACAAAGAATTATGTTTACATTGGAAAAGACAGGAAAAAACAATGTTCCTCATACAGAGAGAGAAAAGCAGCGGGGTTTCAATGCTCCCCAGTTCTTGGCAGTTAACATAATGATCTTGGCCACCACTCCAAAAAATGGTTGTGTGTTTTCTTGGATGTAACTTGGCCTTGCCCATCTTCACACTGCAGTGCTCAAGCGTGACAAGTCCTTGCTTACCTTTGTTAATTAGAGCAGACCTTGCTGTGACCACCACTGGGCACTGCTTGTGTGATGACTATAGCACAGTGAGGTGAGCAGCAGTTATTTGCCTGCTCTGATCCCCTAAGAAGATGGGGGAAGAGAAGCTGAAAATTGGAGGAAAGCTGACATGTGTGGAACAGTTGGGTGATATGTTGCAGAACTCCTTGCTGGGGCTGCCACAACTCTGTGGGTGCTCAAATCTACAGATGATACAGGAAAGAACTAGAAAAATTAAAGAAAATGAAGCCATGACTTTTCACCAGGTCCAGTGCTGCTTTTATGCAGAAAATGGGAGGCACAAAGCTCTGTTAATTCTTTCTGTCCAGACAAGAAGGCAAAAATAGGGTCAGAGCCAGATGGAACAAAGGGGAAAAAAAAAAAAAGCCTCTGAGGCACCAAGAAATATTTTTGCACCTTTTACACCTTGCAGCCCAAGATCACTCACTCCTGACCTTCCCTGGGGCAATGTACAGTAGCATCTTGAAGGCAAGGAGTCGCAATCAGCTGAAGAACCACTGACTGCTGAATGGCCATTAACAGCCATTCTCAGTTGTCCTATTTCCTTACAGATCACTACCGGGCCCATTTGAAGCTGTGAGGTTTTGATAGCCAGGTGCAGCCAAATTGTGACTGGGCAAGAGCTTGGCAGCAGCATGTGCAAAACTCCTTCTCATGTTCAGTGCATAAATCAATCAGCTTGTTCTGCCTTTGCACCAGGTGAACCAATTGTCCTGCCTTCTGTTCAAACATATGAGAATTAATGAAGGGAAATTGTGGTAAATTGCAGTAAAAAACTGTGGTTGACTTAAGAAGCTTGTTTGTCATCTTGTAAGCTCCATTCATTTGCTAAACAGGAAAAGGATACATTTTTCACTGAATATTTGAGATGACTGTCAAAACCAAATCTGGCTGGCCATGCTGAGGACAGACCAGTTATGTCTGAGCCTTTATTGGCTGTAAGGTTTGTAAAATGTCCAAAGGAGATCGGTTGTGGTGATGGCAAAAAAATGAAAGCTTTCTGAAAATCTGCAAAGTCTTGAGCATCTTCCATCACACTGGAGTCTATCCACTGAAGACTAAGAAAAGAATTCATTCAGCTGAAGTAATATTTCTACAGAACAACAACAACAACATAATCTTTGGAAGGACCAAATAACTGCTAATAAAGACAAGGTATCTGTACATTTCACAGCATTTTTTTTTTTTTTTTTTTTTTTGTTCTTAGGATCAATGTGCTGAATTCTCAGATTTATTCATGTGAATCACTTCTGCTTGGTAGATCACTTTATAACCATTTTGAGAATACTGTGCAATCAAAATTTCATTGCTGTGACTGCTCACTTAAGTGATACAATATGTATCTGTTCATTATTTGGTTGAATGGAATCCAGATTTCCTAGTGCATGCATTTGAGGACAATATATTTAAAATTCCCCCTTGGCAAATGTTTTTTAATTCTGACTTAAATAAACTAGTTTCCATGGATGTTCCTGCCAACACATTTATTAGTTCTGATCTTTGGTTTTTATCCATACTGACCACTTATTTGTCAGTCAAAATGGACAGATGCAGGAGGTCCGCATTTTCTGGGGTCAGAAGAAATGGCATAAAGAAGAAATTCTAGCTTCCATCTCTTTCCATACCGTTGAGTGTGCTTTTCATTTTGAGCATGGCTGATTTCGCAGCTTCAAAATGACATTTTCAGAAGACAAATCTTAGAACTGCTGTAGAATCTGTTGCATTCCTGAGCACATGTGAGACTACAAGGGGAGAGGTAACAGCATAGTGAAATCCCATTCCCATTACAGGAAAGAATGTAGCTGAATTTATCTCTCTGTGGCATTCACGGCCAAAATGAAAAAAGACCCACAGGTATGTGTGCGGTCGGATGGTGCCAAATACAACCTTAGCCCGAGATCCCTGCTATCTGAAGGCTCATGCTGCATGCTGTAGCTTGTCACAGAGGTAAATGGATGATTAAGTGCAAGTGAGTGTAGCCACAAGCCAAAAGCTTCCAGATGAAATAATGCTCTCTCTCATAACAGAAGCAATTACAATGTAGCTGTCTGTATTGCATTTAACATTGCTACTAAAGGGCTGCTGCTCTCAAGTGCACTAGTGATAGCAGCTGAATTTTTCTGGCTAAAGAGTAGTTTCTGCACCTGCTGAACACATCCTAAAGCCCTGGGAAGTTTACAGAAAGCCAGAGAAAGTCCATACGGTCCTACAGAATATTTGGTTTGGATGTGAATGCATAGCTTGCATACAAAATACGTATGCATTTCTTCCTTTATATACATCCATACATATGGAGAAAAAGAGAAAATGCTTTTAGTCTTATTTTTACTGTATTTCTAACATAATCCATTATTCACTTGGGATTTTTGGAAGATTATGCTCCTAGTTCTCTTATTTTGTATTTCAAATGAATTTTTATGAGAAATATCTTATTTTGTTCTCCATAAAAATATTTCCAAAGCTCATATTTTATTTTATTTAGCTTTCAGAAGAAAGTGAAAGATATTCAGTTTTTCCTCATTTGAATCCAAACAATTTTTTGGCCTTTCAAATTTTTTATGTATTTTATTATTTTTTTTTGGATGACAGCTAGAAAAAAAGAAAAAAAAAGGACATTTTTCAGCCATCTCAACTGGTTGCGTCAAAGTACTAAAATGCTTTGCACAAGTCAGTGATTTACAGGAAGATCAAATTCTTCATGAGATGATATCTAGAAACCAATGCCATAAAAGCATTGCACTGCCTCAACCATAGAGTGTCAATGCTCTGGGCTTTCCCCTGACCTGAGGGGGTCTGGAACGCAAATGGGTGCTGAGGGATATGATTGTGAAACATGAGTGAATCAATGCTGGGAACACATGCTCAAAAGATTTGTATGAGATCCACATTTTATGTCCGGAAGAGTGTACTAGCCAAATCTTCCCACTCAGAGGTATGCCAGAGGTCTTAGCATTGCTCAGTAAGTCGGTATCAGGCTCATAATTTGATTTGGAGACCTCAAGAAGTAGAGAGGTCACCATGTCTCCGGATGGTTCATTAGGTGATTAATTAACTCCAAAGCTTAAGCAAACATTATCATTCATTTCTCACTTGACTAAGTCTGACTTGATATACTTTTCCAGATTAAGGAGACTTCCACTGCATTTTAACTGTAGAAAATACTCATTGGAGATCTTCCCCTGTAGGTAGGACTTCCTATTTGCTACTGAGGCTTGAAGTTATACTTCTGTAAAATGTTTTGCTATGTGATCTGAATCTGCAGGTCAAGAGAGGTTTACTTCAGGGCTCTATTGTACAGCAAAAATCTGCTTTCTGTGTAAAATACATTGCAAGATTAAATTTGCCATTCTACAAATATTGACCTTACAAATTCTAAAATCATTTCCTGTTTTCTGTTCTCTCTTGTGTTTATAGAAGCCAAGATTCATAGAAAAGGAGAGATGGATTTCAAGAAGTAATTTGTTCTTCTGTCCAAATCACCTTCAGATGTAACCTACATAATTCCAAAAGCACCTGAGTAAACCGTTCTTAAAAGAATTTCTCATGATCAGATCGCTTTGTCAAGCAGTTAAGCTAATTTATTTCCTGCAAACAACTCCTAAAACCTTTTTCAGAATCCCTGTTTTCCATGCTGTTGCAATATACCATTTTTCTGCTGGGTATCTTGAAGTCATTTAAATAGGCCAGATAACCAAATGACGCTAGAGCCCTCTATATCACTCTTCTGCCCTTATCTTTACTTAGCAGACTGCCAGTCTTCGTCCATACTCAAAAATTACTTCATACTTCCCTGCTACTCCTCAATGAAATATGTATAACAGTGTAGCCCCAAAACAGAATCACTTCCAGAACATCTACCTGAGAGCTACACCTTTTGCTAATGATTTTATATTGGTAGATATGTTCTAAGACTTGTCAGCCACTTTGTCCATATATTGTATTTTTGATTAGTTTTGATATTTAATGAAGCTTTGTGGTAATTCTATTTCAAACACATTAAAAAAAAAAATAGTAACATCATAGATTAATAGAAAGTACAGCTGGGGAAAATACAAGGGATGAACAATTCTATCTCATACCCCAAGGCAGGACTGGCTGTATCAATATCTTGTTCTAAGAATATTACAATTTTAGAGATATCTTTATCATCCAGTCTTGCAATCTTGTCAAAGACCAAATTAAGTTTTGTGTGACAAGACCTCTTTTCCACAAAGCAATGTTGATTGACATTAATTACATCCCTTTTTCTTACTTCCTTACCCATTACATTTAAAAACGTCTTTCAATTTCAAGTGTTTATATTTGAACATCCCTTCAGATGTAGAAATGAAGAATCTTCATTTTGCTCTGCAAGAAATTTCATCTACTCCCAGCTAGATATCATCAGGTTTTTCATCTTGATCCAAAATTACAGCTTGATTCAAAGATCATTAAAAACAGTAGGAGTAATTGCAATTATTTAATAAGCCAGGTCTTTTCTATTACTTAAAAAGGTTAAAATAGTTGTCAGCTTCTTAATCTAAGTAGAAGTCCCAAATGGGTAGATTTCATTTTACAGAAACAAAACATGACATGGGAAAGTGGGGAACAGTTGTCTGTTTCATATTCACACGCCAACATGTTGTTGGAGAATTGGCCTCCCTCTTATAGTAACAGCCTACAAATCACCCCTGGCTGCTAGAAAATGAGACATGAGCAGAAAGTAAAGTTTGTGGGTAAGAAGATCAAAGTCTCAGACAGAAAAAGAGCCCATGAGAGACAACTGTATGCCTATGATCTTGTTTTTGTTATGTGAGTTTATTTTCCTAGAGATACTCACGTAGAATATGGACAGTGGATTTTTTCTGAACTTCTTATATTAACTCTGAAACAACTTTCTGAAAATACATTTGTGTTAGAGACTAAGTATTTCCCCCTCCCCTTCACAAAATATTCTTTTTTTGTTAGTTCTCACTATTCATTACAAAAATTTTAACATAAACTAGAGGACATCTACTAATATACTTTTTTCTTTTTTTTTCTTTTGTAATTCAGCTTATTGATCAGATCAGATTTTCATGGGCAGTCATATTGTTCTCCAAGTCCCCAAAGTGACAAGCATCTGAATTATTATTACCCATTTTCAGGTTTCGTATATGGGCTTGAAGATTAATGTGTTATATGTCATATAAAAACAGCAAGTAAATTAAGTTTCTTCCAAGGGAAAAGAACGAATTTTTAAGAAAGTAAATTCTAAGTAGTACTACTTGTATTATTTTTGCTTCTCCTTTTCTGTTTTATATTTGAAAATATTTTTAACCATATTTTATTAATATGATTGGGTAATCGAAGTCAAAAGGGAGAAAAAAGTCACTTGCTACACAAAGGCTGTAAGTTTATTACTGAAAACTTAGCTCCTAAAAACTGTAATCAAGAAGCAGTTGATGTAATCTTCCTGAGCCTTTTCAGCTGGCTGGAAGGTATATGGGTTTGTTAATTGCATGTAGTCTTTTCTGCACAGGATACCAGAATCTCCTTAGCTGTGATTCTTGTGGAAGGGCATTTTCCACTTTGTCACTCACCTTGTGTCACAGAAAGAAGAGACTGAAGCTGGTGTTTCCAAAGGGAGGCGGGTCTCCAGCTCCATCTGTATGTACACCCACAGGAATTAATGGTAAGTGACTCACAGCTGCACTTGTAATCATGCTTGATCATTAGGTAGAAGAGAAAAAAAAATATCATCTGGTAGCCCTAAAGTCCTGCTGAAACAGATAATGCTGTTCAAATGTTTCAATAGAACAAATATTCACAGGAGCTGCAGAGCTAGTTCAGCAGTGACCATGAAAAACTGGCAGCTCAAGGTTTGTTGGGTTTCCAGAGCTAAAACTTGCTACCCTGAAGATGATAATCCAGATCCTAGTCAGGATGAGGATACCATGTAGAAGAAGAGAAACAGACAGAGTTGGGTCTGTCCACAAGTAACGAAGAGTTAAATTTAATGTTTCTACTGTCAGATGGAAAATAAACAGCAGTTGCTATTAACCTGCACACTGAAGTCCCCTCCTCAGCAACAGATAGCCTTGGATGATCCTCACACTGAAAGTTACAAAATAGTAATGGGACCATGATTGTGATACTATCCTCAGTTCCAAAAAGTCTTGTTGAATAAGTTTAGGTGTAAGCACAAAAAGGAAGATATATTTGCAAAACAAAGACAGGAGTCATGGATAGTTCTTTCAGCAAGATGAAAATTATTTTTCTCAGGGATTCATTTCAAGCAAGGCTTATTAAAATTGTTTACAATTTATTTAGGCAAATGTAAAATTAAAATTCCAAACTGTTATTGAACCATTCATTATATTTTTTGTGTTTCTCTCTGAATTTTCTGTTTTTGAAGAAACACATCTCAATAAAGACCAAATTTTCTGATTATTTTGTTTTCTGACTTGAATCTGTTTTGTAATGCATATGACCACATACACTAGTTATTAAAAAAAAAAAAAAAAAAATTGTAATGCCTCATACTCAAAACACCTAATTTATTACTATGAATGTTATGATGAAAACAACTCTATATTGCATATCATTCAAACAAGAGAAAGAGTATGTGAATTACAGAAAGTAGAAGAAACTCATGTAACAGATGTATGTGGTGTGATTTTTCAGGAGATGTGTCATAGAATTATACTGAAATACCACACAAAAAAGACTTTCATCCTAAAATAACAAAACTGACTTGAAATCAAAGACAGAGAAAGCCTTGAATTATAAGGTTCCCCTTGGCTGTATTGATCTTCATTGAAAAGTCTTATGTCTTACATCCGTTCAGCTATAAGATCAGGATAATCTCAGCATCTGCATCTTCAGTGACATAAGAAGCATTCTCATGGGAGCACTGTAACTAGCATATAGCAAGAAAGGACAAAGAAGGCTATTCTTATCCCTGAGAAGGCCTGCTTAACTATCTGAACAACTGCATAACATATAACAAGATCAACTACCTTGTTAACTCATCAATGAATATAATAATTATAATTTTTAAGAATTATTTGAACTATTAAGAGAAAGACAATAGATACAAAGGCCACAATGAATGAAGACTTGCATTGAAGAGAAAGAAAAACAGGTCTTACAATAACTAAACCTTTTACCCATCCTGAACGAATTGCTTTTAAAGAATGGTCTCATTCAGAAACAGATGTTAGAGACAATCCAAAATTCTGCTGTTAAACACTTATTTTTCTTGTACTCACTTTTGCATGTTTTATCCCCCCCCCCCCCCGCTCCCTTCCTAATTTTCATTACTTGTTTTCTGTTGCTAATTTTGTGTTCCCTCATGAACAAGCAACTTTCTTTCTGACCTTGTGGTTGACTTTAAAAAATGATTTGTTTAAAATTCCAACCTTCCCCAGTTATTAAGTTAAATATTAACATTTCAGAGAGATTACAGTGCTCCTTCCCAGAATGATTTTTCACTATTCCCACCTCAATTCCAGCTCTCACTGACTCCAGGTAAAAGCTAGGATGTATGTGTTGCTTTCCTTTGGGCATTTCTGACCATCTGTCTCATTCACTTATAGCCTCCATCTTAGAAACACCTCCTTGGTCAATTGTAGTCATGTTTGTACAATGCAATTTGTGATAACCCTAACAGTGACTGGCAATACCACAACAGAATCAGACAGGCAGAACCAGCCACATGGCAATCTGATTGCTCTTGCTGCTTCTAAAATCCCCACATCCACCCATGCATGACTGATGTGATCAAGTTTGTTTTATTTTATTTATTTTTCTTTAATTTTGTTAAGTTTTGTCCTCTTCTCATTTGTGGATAATAGAAAGTATAGTCCCCAAAGGGGGCTAACTTCTTATTACTGTCAATTGAATGTACTGTATACTTAAAAGTCTCAAAATACCCATGTGAGAATACGTTCCATGTCTACTTAGGGATTAAACCCTGGCACTGTTGACAAACCCATGGAGGACTATTAAATGCAGAAATACACCTCTGGCACAGGAAGTCTCTCAACCACAATTTCCTGGAGGCTGTGAGAGTATTTTAGGAGGGAATCATCATACAGTCATCTCATTTTATATTTTCCAAGAGGCATCTGCTATTGGCCACTGCTGGAACCAAGAGACTGGAGTAGGTGGATGTATCACGTAAATCACATCTGCTGTTCTTATATAATGAAACTGATGGGAGTTTTTACCAAACACCTCAGCGGGGAAAGAATTCTTCCACTGTTTTCAGAATGGCAAAATTTCATTACCTAAGTAAAAGTTCTCCCAAATAAACACATCAAAGTATTGGTGTTTGTGTTTAGATTTATGCTTTTATGGCTGGACGGCTTCCAATACCTCATTCATTCATACACAGCTAGCTTGGGTATCTTTATACTAAACTGAAGTCTTTTATGTAAAGCAGTCCTGTTACATGGAGATTTCCCTCAGTTATGGGAAGCATAAACCCATATTTGCCAGTCTTGTTCGATCTGTAGGAAGCACTGCTAGTGCAAAAGCATCCCCTGTAGTTTAAAAGTAGTGTTGGTGCATAGTTTCTCTGTAATCATTGCTGTAGTCGAGTGTTCACCTGCCACAAGAACGATGCTAAGAAAATAAGCAGAAAGTGCAGCTTTAGGAGGGGAAGTAGGTATTCCAGGGCTTTATGCCTCTTGTAGGGCACACTCACACACAGTCACAAAGAAAGAATTCTTCAAGAGATGTGGGACAACAAAGAAGATACCTGGGGTGGGAGGACATCTGATCAGTAATTTGTCTGCGGTATAAAATTTGCTTAATAATAAATACTTTCAAAGCCCAGGTGTTGAAATGAATTATATTTATCCTATCCACCCAAATGACTGTACTTGGAAAGAGAACTCTCCTCTAATTTATCATGGAGGTCACTGTTCCTGGTCAAATTTTAAGCCTACAAAGTCCAACACCAGCTAAAATGATTGGGGATATACAACATTGTTCCTGTTGCAATGCTCACAGCAATAATAATGATTAAAAAATCAGATATTTAAGAATGCTTAAGCAATCAAGTAATCTTATTGGAAGAAAACCCAGGTATCAAAGAGCAGCCAACATAGTCTTTTTCCCATAAAAGTGCTGTCCTGTCCATATTTAACATTTTTTAACTTTCACCCATTGTTCTGTCTTCTCATACACCACATAAATCCATCCAGTGAATTTTCTACCATCCATAAAACAAGCCCCAGATTTTGGAGGGTACGACTGTTTGAAGAGGTGCATGACATGCATCTCTCTTTTCCATTCCTGAATGTAAATACACTGTGGTTAGTCCTAGCATATGGTTTTCATTAAGATTCCTCATACGACTGCAAGAGCAAAATTGGGAAAACAAACTTGTTATTACCAAAGCAGCTCACTGCCTCTTCTTTCAGTGCATGAGGCACTCAAGTACATAAAAACAAAGGTCAATTGCTTTAGATTCAACATGATCTAGTTCTCCTATATTCTTTTTTTTTTTTTTTAAAGGATCTAATGCAGCTGAAAATAATGTTTATGGCATTCCAAAGCAGATGTGCATCTGTTACTTAAGTACAGGTCTTAAGTTTATATAAATTTACTGTCGACATAGATGGGAGATAGCTGGGCCCAAAGATATTGCGAAAGACATAATAAACTACCTGTGCTCCCATCTAAGTAATTCCATGAACTAAAGTTCAGGAATACAAGCAATGACATTTTTCTGAGGCAGCTTCTTGGCCAGAAAAATATTAGTAGGAAGGCCACAAAGATAGTCCTGAAATCTGATGATGCAAGTAGGCAGCATTTCTCTTGGCAGCTTGGACATCACCTCTGTACCAATACCATACTTGTAACTGTGTGGGTTCAGCAAGGAGAGACTCAAATGTTTACACAAAGAAATGAGGTGCTGAAGTATTTGGTTACCTATTTCTAAAAAGTTTATCTGACTGTTTTCTCCAGTCAATTCAGTACAACATTTCTGCCCCCACATTCTCCCCAGTCTGTTGCTCTGTCCCTATGACTTAGGGACACAGTCCAGATTTCTGTTTAAGTGTCCCTGAGGTGGTGACATTGCCATTTCCCTTCCTCCATCACCACTCCCTGGACATGACCTAGTTTCCACTGACTCGTGTGAGATTCAGACTGAGCCCTTTGCTCTCTCCTTTCCCTGTTCACTATTGATTCCTGTTTCCCATTGATTCCCATTTGCGATCCAGGCTTGACTGTATAATAATGCTAAATAGCTTTAATGTTATTCACCTACTGGGAACCAAAGTTTTTCTTGTTTACTCACCCACTTGCTTAATGTAGTGTTGCTCTCAGATTATAACTTCGCCCAAGACAGGACTCTCTGAACAGCATACAGTAACGAGCAGTCATAAGACCCACAGCAGCATCCTGGCCAGTCTGTATTTTGTCTTATGTATTTGAGTGACAGTAATTTCTAAGAGGAAAAATAAAATAATAAAAAAAGTTATTAGAGTCTCATGGTCACAGCTTCACATGTCTCCCTTGTCTGACTCATTAACGTTTTAAGGGGAAACAGGCAGAAAAAAAAAGAAAAACACCAATCTGAGTTGTGGGTCCTGCACTTCAATAGCTCCTTCTGTCCCTTGTGATTTCCCACCTTGCTTGGGAATTGATGAGAATGGGGACAAGTGATGCCTGCTGGGCATCATAGTTCATTAAAAGAAAATTATGGTGAATGTAAGTTTCTGAGATCTGTGACAAAATGGCATGCTGGAAATTTTCCTTCAGTCAAGGGACAAAGCTACCCTGGGATTGTCCCCACCTTTCAAGAATACTTGCTGACTTAATTATAGCTACAGTTTTTCCATCTGTAAAATGTGGTTAATGGTGTTGCCTTCCTTTATTAAACTCTGAGATCTCTAGGGATGAAATGCACTACATGAGAGCTAGCAGCCTTCTTTGGCTCGTGTGTTGCCCACGTTTCTATACTTTCTGTACAATTGTTTGCCCTTTGTGTTCCTCATGGAACGAATTCCTCTCTTACAATCATAAGTCTGAATTAGGTCAGAGACCTTCAAACCTTTGGTCTAGCTTTGAGTTATGTTACTTAATGGTGAAACGGAGCTGAGTGTGGACCTGGACAAATGGTTTATTTCACTTATTGAAAAACACATATTTCTGTATGCTTTTTGCTATCAGAATTGCTGTGAATTTTACACAGTTAATCTAGGAGAAATGCTGAAAAATGATCACAAGAACTGGCATGACTTTTCAGGAACCTTTCATGTTTAATGGCACACTGTACACAGAGAAAATAAACAGGCCCTGCTCCAGTCCACTTTACATCCCACTGAGGTTACAAGGTTGGCTCATGTGACAACTTGCTTTGGGCTGAATCATCCACAGAGACTGAACACGTAGACTCTGTGACTGTAATTATAATCCTCTATGACTGGAGCTAAAACCACCAGGTTCATTGCTTAGAGGCAGCAAGAGCCTTATTGAACACCTCTGCACTTCAGCCAGCAGGAAGCAAGAAAAAAACAGCCAGGAAAGCATCATACCAGGTGCAACCCTGGGCAGAAAAAGTCTTCAATAAGGTTTCAATGAATAAGTATCACCTGTCCTTTTCACTCTTCACCCTTCAGAATAAGAGATTCTTCTTAATATGTGCTACTTAACACAGCACCTGATTTCTTGAAAATTAATTCAGCCAAGTCTGCAGCTCATGCAAGTCTCTGTGATGTACCCCTTTAAAACAAGACAAAATAATATTTTTGTTTCAGACAGAGTGAGAGACAGAACAGGGACTAAGGGATCCTGTGATAAGGATGTTACGTCAGCTGAATATTAAAGCAGTCATGTAAAACCTGGATGATATGCTAACAGATAAGCAAATGTGGGATAAGCTCTGCAAGAATGGGTGAAAACAAAGTTATTTACAAACGTATTTCTCACAAAGGTCACAATATACTCCAGGTGAAAATGTTCACCTTTAAAAGTAGTCTCAATTGGTATGAATAAATCAACATCAGGGTGAATTTTTTATTCAAAATTTGGATATTTTTTCAGCCAGAATTTCTCATCCAGGCTTTCTCTTTGTGTAGAAGAATCCCCTAGAGTCTAAGAGGACTCAACTCCTTGTGGCCATGTTATGTTCCCCTTCACATCTAGGTCTGGCTGTTCAGACTTCACCATGTTGCACCTTCCAGTAATAAATTCAACTGATGTTTTTAAAAATGACAGATGGGAGCTTATTTTGCTCTATAACTTGATTCAGTCTGAACATAATTCTGGCATGCAATGAAAAAGGGTTGCTTAGTGTTTACCTGAAAAGGATCTCTCAAGCCAGTGCTCTTATAAAGGAACTTAGATATCCCTCTGCTCTGAAATCCCAGATGATTCAAGCACTTTTTATGAGCTGGGAGATGGGAGGATGAAGTCGCTCTCCAGTAAATATTCCCCTGAGCGGGGAGTGATTTTGAAAGCAAACTCATGGAAGCAGCCCAAGTCCCTTGTAGTCACAGTCTTTGCATAGTAATACAACCAAGAATTAGCATTAAAACAACATTACACTAAACTTAATGACTTTTCCTTGCTCATCTCTGTAGTGGTTAATGAAACATTATGAATGCAAAGCAAATAGTGTGTTCATGCTAGTTCAGGATCACATGGCATCTGAATATGCTTCATGAATTATTCACATGGTTTTTCTTCAGCAGTGCCATCCATCTCCCATCATGGAGTGAAGCTCCCTTTCTGACTTTAGCAGGCTTGTCTAAAGCTGTTCCTGTTGCACTGAGGAAAGTTTTGTTTCGAGTGTGTCAAATACATATGAGCAAGGTTACCTAGTAAATGAGAAGTGCTAAAATATTTATATAGAATATAAATTCTCAAGAAACCATAGGGAGGAAGAGCTGACAAGCTTCCTCCCCAGAGGGGTGAAGGTCTTCTTTCTCTCTCTCTTTCTCTTTTAAGAACAAAATATCCCAAGAGTGGAGCAATTTTTTTGTACCACTGTCCTACCCAGAGCTCCTTCTTCCCTTTTAATTTACAGCTGAGCATCTTGTCCTCCCACAAACTCCACATGGACCATGGTACTCCTTATGGAAATT